ATATATAAATATGTAATAATACAAGCAACAGAGTCAGAGGGATGCTGGGAGGACAGCAACAAAGGTTAATGACAATAAAGTGTCATAAGACAATCTATCATTTACAACTTTGAAGACTGCTGCTGTTAGCCTGCTAGATATGCTAGCTCCTGTAGTTTATGTTTTCAACCCTGCCCACACTTTTTTCCAGCTGTGGCATCAAGTCATTGTTTTTAAGTCACAAATTTGTCTCAAGTCTTTACACTCAAGTACTGAGTCAGAAAACTTTGAGTTTCAGTGCCTAAATATTGTGACCATCGTCAAAATATATAAAATTTTTTTTTGTATTATTTTTTTTTTTTTTTTTTTTTTTTCCCCCCTTTTTTTTTTTTTTTTTTTTTTGGGGGGGGAGAGAATAGCATTAGCTGATTCAGGAATTAAAGGGAAATTAATTTAGTTGCAGCACACTACTTTTTTAAAATCATACTATTTAATCTTTGGGCTTGGGGGAAGGTACCAAGTATTTTCAAGTCAAAAGAGAGTCCTGCATAGGACTGTCCCACCCGACCCACAAACATTCTGACCATTCACCTCCACATAATGGAGATTTCTTATCTTCTACCGTGTCGGCAGCAACTGAGAAAGTTCTCTAAATGTCAGACTTGACCTGCTTTGCTTAATTTGTTGACTCTGTCCCCATCGTTCTAGTGGGTGGGTAAGTTAATCCCGGGACGTGCATCTATTTTTTGATTGTCCGCTCCCACCTGCAGCAAAGTCAAAACCACCCACTCCCACAAGATTAACATTGGGGTCCTGCAGGACCCCAATCCTCTAAGATCAAATCCAGGTGAAGTCGCAAGTCATAGGTGTTAAAGTCCAAGTTAAGTTGCAAGTCTTAGTCTAAAGTCATCAAATTTGTGACTGAGACTTGAGTTTAACACTTTCCTGTTCCTTGTGCTTTTGACAGTAAGGCAAGGCAGCTTTATTCATACAGCACATTTCCCATTCCGATTACACACTAGATAAGACACTTGATAAACATGTCATCTTCAAATAACTTTTTTATTCCAGAATTAGCTTAATTTAATTATTATACGTTTGATATGTGGCCCTGGCCCAAATATCTAGAGCTGGCTTTAGTGAATATCTTTAATGCACTGTGCTTTGGTGACTACAACCTGACGTCTTCAACCACAGATCATTTGATTCTGCACATGCATACTACAGTACATCTGCTGTGTGCAGAACACACCACTGCTGCCATCAAAGATTGGACAACCTGCCTTCTTCCTGCCAGCGAGCACAGGTGGGAGTTTTCCTGCTGAGCTGCATGGGGATGACATCAGCAATCAGTAAAGCGGTAGGGACTCCCCGGAGCCCTGGTCCCCTGACCCCGCCACTGCTTCACCGCTGCCTGTCTCTCCATCAAAGGACCTCTGTTTCACTGAGCATTTCACCGAGTAAACCTCCTCGGCTTCAGCAACCTCAGAACGCTGCTGTCATACATGGCGCTCCCATGCCACCACCTGCCCTCCCTGTTAACTTTTTCCCCTTTAAAAGATGTTAAAAATTTGACGATAAAGGAGAATTCTGTGAAAGCTTTTTTGGATTGCATCGTACAGTGCTGCTACACACTACTGCTGACAGTAGATGGTAAGTGTGGTTGTCACTGCCTGGCTCTGAAGTGGTTACTACCCAACTCCCATTGGCTGCATGCATACATGCAAATATTAATTGCAGCAATTAATAAAGATGAGTCTTCTTCTGCCTGTTTTTATAAACAACCATCCTTTTTTTAGTGGGCAGTTTGACAACACATTCCACGTTATAGACTACTATTTTTGAAGCAAGCTAGCTTTCAGTTTTATTGGTATACTGTAATTTTGCTCTCATATTGACATCCCACCCACACTGGCTATTTCCTACACCTTCACTGACATCTAGCATTGTCTTTTTCTTCTTAGTGAAAAACTAACACTAGAAACTCAGCCATAAATTCAATAGAGAATGTATTTAATTTCCCAACTATTTCCTCACTTAAAGACATTTCCTATTCAACAAAAGCCACAGGGAGGACATTGTGATTACATTAAGATGTACAGTGCATCCAATTTGTGAGGCCTTGTAGTGGGATCATCTTTCATAACCAGACTGACAATATGAACCTGCAGTTTGTTGACCCCTCATACCCAAAAGTCACTCACAGATTTCCATTACTTTACTATATAATGCACAGAAAATTATTTTTTGACACATTTGAGTCAACGACCGATGTTGACTTTGACATTTTGGTAGCACTAGCAACCCAGCTGTGTCCTGTACGACCACTGACTACAACTGACAAAAGTGCTGTGGCAACGAGACACTAAAAGCAGCGGAGGAGTGACAGACACGAGGACAGAAAGAGAAAAGAGGCAGAGGAAGCCCGAGGCCTTTAAACACTTCTGGGAGAGACAGAGCAGAGGCAAGGCGAAGTCAAACAGAACAAGAGCAACACTGATGAAACTGAGCTAATGTGCCGTGACCACGGGGGGGGGTGTTATCTGTTGCGTCTGTTACCACAGCAACCTGCTGTCTGATTAAACATCCAAATGAATGCTTGAGCTACAAAGTGAAGGCGGGAATATTCTTAGTTTCTGTGAGAGTCTCGCGAGTGTTTACACGGGTGTGGATTACTTCTTTTACACTCAGGTGTTTGTCTGGTGCTCCAGAGACACTATCAGTGATAGTGTGTGTGTGTGTGTGTGTGTGTGTGTGTGTGTGTGTGTGTGTGTGTGTGTGTGTGTGTGTGTGTAATCAGTATTTGGACTTCCTGTTATTCACAGTGAAACCAGGTAAGTCAATTTAACTAAATTGTTGAAACTGATAACTTCGAAAATTTTAGTAAAACAAACTCAGTTTTGTAAGTTAAAAAAAAACCTGATCAAGTAGCTTAAGTGAAGTGGCACCGACTTCATTTTGCTATTTTTATTTGTACTGTGAAAAGTAAATACCTAGTAAAAATAACTTAATCAAAATTGAGTTTGTGTTACTTAAGATTTTTTATGTAATCTGTTTCAATTGTTTTTGTTCAAACTTTTTGCAAATTTTTCCTGTGGACATTAAGTCCATGACACTTAAAATTACTAAAGCTACTTGATGAAGAATGTTTTTTTAGCATACACAATTGAGTTAGTATATGTCTGATACTACAGACAAGAGGATGACTATAATGATGATTATTAGTTTTATTGCTGTTAGCAGCAGTGGCATCAGCTACTAAAGATGGTCCCCCTTTTTTTAAGAGCCCTATACACCTACACTAAACACACACACTTACGTCATACATACAGAATTATAGACAGCTGGGATTTTATAGATCAGCCTTTCACAATACTATTTTTTTATGCATACAGACATACAATTAGATGAGCTTAGATAAACTACTGTAATACTGTAAGTAACCCAAATCTGTAAGATATTATATTTTTTGAGTTTTAGAATTTTCATACAGCAAGTTTAATTATAAAGACAGATATTAACCAAAACTGAATAATTTGTAACTGAACAGAAAGATTGTGAAGCTAATGTTAAAACTACTGGAATATTATCAGGGTTCCCACACATCCAGGAAAACATGGATATTTAGAGACTAGTTTTCCAGTCACAGAAACACTTGGAAATTGATTAAAATGATCAATTCTTATTCTGGAAATGTTTATTGCATTTTAGTCCTTCACTCAGATTGGCTTTCATATATAGAACTTGCAGCGATCTTCTCAGCGAACTGCGAGCAGTATTCTCATGACATCCCAATGGAAAAATGTATTGTTGTGGTGAATAAATACACACACAGAAATGTTCATTGTGCATGCAACAAACATTTTCTACTTCTTCTTTTAATTGGCCAATAGGTAACAAAATGAATTTTCTGTAAAATTAAATTAAAATAAGTCTGCAGATTAACATGGAGCGTCCCATAAACGCTGACCACCTACCTGCTATGAACCTAAGACACTTCATCATGAAGCTGTATCATTAAACAGAGACGAAAAAACTGGGTTAAAAAGCTGAGGTTAAATGTATCAATACAAGACCTACCGGTGATATTGTTTGTGAGCATTATTTCTTAAAGAGTGGGAACCCTGATTGAATGTTAAAGGCTAATTATATCTCCATATGAGTATTTTCCACATGTAGTAGTAACAGCAATAGGTATCTAAATTGCTTTGTTCCAACAAGACTGGACCAATGAAGCAGCTCTAAAATTTTGAGGGACAAAGTCGCCCCCACTATACCATGATGGACCCGGTCTTGCTGCAGCTGCATGGGCTCCACTACCTATACTCCTGCCATTAAATAGCACCATTACAAGAGATTTCCCGAGCGGATTCTAAGGATTGGCATCAGGGCCGATCTGGGTATATTTTAATGGGTCTTATCAGCTAAAATAAAGCCGATCACATTCCAAGGCTTTTGTTTATTGCACTCTGCTGTTTTTGTCCACCTCAGCCTGCTAGTGTCGCAGTGAGGCTCTCATTTATTTCGCCTGAGCTCTAAAGTGCAGCATTTTGATGCATGTGTGAGTGAAAACTTTGTCAGAAAAAGATTTGCTAAACTCCTGACGCTAATTATCATTTGCAAAGAGCAGGATAGAAAGCATTCTGATGCTGTCACTGAAATTTTGGATCCATAACTTTTATTCCAGTGTGACAGAGGCTATATATTTAAACAGCATTAAAGCAAGTTAAAGTATTGGACTCAGTAATGGTCAAAAGTTTAATCACAATTTTGACCTTGTAGTCACCAACATTTGTTGGTTCAAGCCTATGTCACTATGTTTTGGCATATTCATATTCCCATAGACAACCAGTGAATCATTTCAAAGGCTTGATACAAAGAGTCAACATACCTGTGTAATAATATCAGTCCACATACTGTATGTACCATATACATATCTGTTTCTCCACCACTGTCTTTCCATCTTCTAAGTCGGATGTTTATAGTGAACGGTGTGAATAATGGATGCTGATGTTACTTACCGTTGACGGTTAGATGCACCCAGCTGCCATTGTGGAAGGTGTCGTACTGCTGCTCCAGCATAAGCACCTTACACTCATACCAGCCCTGGTCGTCCGAACGCACATTCTCTATCCGTAGGGAGGACTTGCCGTGCAGACTGGCCCGGCCTGGTCGACAAGAGGCAGAGATGAGGTGTCAGCAGAAAGGGACACGGGGAGGTGAGAAGGACAGGTGGATTGAATTTAATGAAGGAAATGAAGGGAAGGAAGGAAGGAACATGTGAGAGGGGAATGAATAAAGAGAAGAGAGGAGAGAAACGCCTGATGAATGTTAAAGAGAAAATCAACCTTTGAAGAGTTCAGACATAAATATGCAGGGAGTAAACTGCCGTGTGTTAGCATAGGTGTCTCGGGGTAACATCACAGTGCATAAGGCCTGTTCTAAACAACGCTGCACTGTTAATGTGCAACACAACATCAAAGTAGGACTGCAGTTGGATATGTGCAGTGAAACCTGTCACTTAAGCCTCAGTGTAGCTGAGATGTCCTCATCTCCATGTGTGTGGCGGTCTATTTTGGAGATGCACTGAGGCAAGGACAGGTCATTACTTCCTTTGAGGAGTGGGAAGTGGCCAGCATGACAACAGAGGACCCCCGGGGTTACACAGGGAGTCACAATCCGTCAGAACAGATATCGGCTTTTGACTTGGTGAGCACAGTCGGGAATAGCCGCGTTTTAGTTTTACAGATCAAAAGCTGAAAGAGGGAGGGATTGATGATGTTGCTCCGGGGCAATCTGGCAACTGGATCATAACAGATGGCAACTGGCAATAAGGGCTAAACAAAGGGCTTTCAGGGAGCACGCGTCGGCTCAAAACGTCAGCATTATCAAAGCCTGGCTATCCCTTATTAATCCCCACGCTCTGCCCTATCCGCTCCACTTTGTGGGTATTCCTGACTAATTTTGTGTTTGCCTTCCTAAATCCCCTCTGCAGCATGACACACCAGGTAAGTATATCGGCTGCACTGCCGGCTGTCTCAGTGAGTTAAGGTAGACAGTCAAAGTGATGTTTGTTCCCTAGCCTGTGTGTGCGAGCATGTGTGTGTCCTGGTTTGGCTATTTATATATCAGATTATATTTGTCCAGCTTCCAACCATGTCTGTCTCCTCTCTTGGCTAACTGGAAGGAATTGAGAATGTTAGTGAGTGTGTGGTATGTACTTAATATACTGTATACTGTGTGTTCTCGCAGTACCTGCCCTTTGATTCCACTTCCATTTCTCTTTGTCTGAGGGTAAACACTCTGTCCAAACAGTACTGGATGTCCTTTTTAGATTTGATGTATTCAAGCATAAAAGGTAATGAACAAGAGATCATGCATGAGTGTGCCTGTATAAACACAGGGTACTACTCTGGCCCTGACTTACTGTATGAAAGCGTAGCGGTTCTTAACTTTCGCTATGCCTGTTGCGATCATGGATAAACCTGTGAATGATTACGCAGAGTGAGATGTGTTTAACAAAATAGAAAAGTAGACTCAATCTTGACTGAAGACAAGTAGGGATGTGATGTAAAAATGTTCTAGTTGTCTAAACCAGTGATTTCCAGGTGCAAATGCCAAGGGGTACATGGAAAGACTGAAGAAAGGCTCATCTAATTTGTGTATATACACATCTATACATACAAGGCCCCTATTCCACCAAATTAGTTCTTGTTCTTCAACCGGTTCTGTTCAAGATTCTTGGAACCTTTCTGCTATGTAGCAAACCAGTCACGCTTCCACCAGTTTTGAGTGCAACCATTAGGCCCTTTCGAGATGTGCCAGGTCTGCGCAGAGTGGCGATCGCCACACAGTGCATGCCGGTTAGATTTGTGTTCAACTTGTAAGCCTCATGAGATTGAGGCGGCCACAATTTTTAGAGCCAGGTGCCGCACTCTATAAAACTTCATGGTATTTTATTGCAGCCAATGCCGGTCCCCCTGCTGGCCTTTTCATAGAATGCAGGTTTAAGACTCCGCGTTGGCTTCACTTCACAGACCCGGAAGCTCTGTCCATTATATATACTGTCAATGCTCCCAATACTGCTGAGGGATGAGCCAGCTGATTAGAGCAGTGTGTGTTTAATGAGAAGTTGTGTGATATTCACAACAGCTCTATGGGGAAAACAAATAGTACAACTAAATTTTGAGGCTGTTCGTATCTGTTCAGACTACATTATTTATTCATATACAAACCATTTATTTGGTTTTTATTTACATCCCTAGTTTGAAGCCCTAAGATGAAACAGATTCTTTCTCCATTAGGCAGAGGTCATTGTGAAGAAGTCTTTCATCTTGTTGGGTCTCTTTCTGTGAGAAACAGCTGAGTAATTAATGAAAAGCAGATGTCTAAATAATCTGCAACATGATTTTTGGGGATCAGCAGCTGGAATTACAGAGCTTTTAATGAGTAGAAATGAAGCAAATAGGCAAGATCAATGGTATTCAAATGTCTGCTTTCTAAATCTATATACAGTAAACTGAAATACATGCTACACACCCTGCTCATAAATAGAATATGCCACAACCCTAATAATGATGTATATTATATTTACCACTAGTGGCTGACATGGCCTCCATGCTCTGTGCCCTCTAAGGTCACATCCTACTCAATTATCAGAGACAACAACATCAGTGACATGCTGCTTTCTGCTCGCTCTGTGCAGTGTTCACAGACACTGGGTACATTTTCACACCTCTGACAGCTAGAAAGTGTTGAGCTATTTTGGAGTATATAAAAACAAGTTTTTCTCTTGTTATGCACATCAGTTAGTTGTCATTTGGCTGACAGCCTTTGCTTATGATAGAAAAGATGTTACCAGGAAGAGGTTTTAAGGAAAGTATACACAGGTTGGACAAAAAGTAGAAGAGTTATCATGGTGGATCTAATATTAATTGCATTGCAACGCATCTATCTGACAGCCACACCAGGGCGCCCAAACTTTGTTTTTTATTTTATTTTTTTATTTCTAACAAATGGAGCGAAACCTGCGAGCTAGTTCAGGCAGTCAACTCGAGCTGTGCTGCTATACACACATGACATGCCTCACTCCATAATCACTAACTAAGCGCTCCCTTTCAATCTGGCGCTCTATTTAAACTGCACAATTTCCCAGCTCTCCCTCTGCTCTGTCAATGCCGCTGTTGCCCTGCATCCGTATTGTTGCCTGCTGCTCTGTAAGCCCCACCACCACCCCAGCATCCACCTGTAGGCTCCAGCTAGGGGTTAAGGTATTTTCTCCTCACTCCCCAATATCTTTATGTAACATATCTGCAGGGAGTGATGAGGTCGGAGCCTAGACGCTAAATATGCTATACTGCTGTAATAAACATTTCAAATGTGAATTGGCTGACTGAAATCCAATTAAAAGAATAAAAACCAACAAGGTGTGAGTCCATCTCTCTATACTTTGACTCTACACTGTCTGTGGCTCTCAGCTCCAAGACCTTTGCTTCCTACGTACATAAATGTTTAAAAACGACTCAAATATAGTTTAATTTTTCAAAAGGGATCATAAGGCTCAGTGTGTGTTCATGGGAACAAAGGAATATGTCACCCAGTGCAACAGTGTGACTCACTGATGTGTTTTTAATAGTTTCCAGACACCAATGGAGCTCTATGACACAGAGGAAGAAGATATATAAGGTGTGGCTCCTATTCTCTAAAATACCTGGATTCGTTAAGCTCCACAGCCATGGCTGTCAGCCAACACAACCCTTATTGGATCTTTCATTCACAATCTCTCTTATATTATAGCTTCTCTTTTGTCTCTTTCTGACATTAAAGAAATTGAAATTATCTGAAATTATTTGCATTTGATGAGCAGATTAAGAACTGGATTTAGCCTCAATAAAATGTAATAACCATGTCAATGACCATTTTTATGTTAATGACACTTAATTGTATATCTCTGTCTCGCAACAACCCCAACGCACTGAATGCTCCCATTGCCTGTCTCACCAACATTGATGTCTGGATGGGTACAAACTTTTTAAAGCTAAATGAGGAAAAAACAGAGCTTGTCTTATTAGGACCTAAAGCAGAGAGAGAAAATCTGAACTCAATGCTTGGTGACCTTACCAAACACATTAAAACAACAGTCACAAATTTGGGAGTGATTCTAGATTCTGATCTAAATTAAATGTTTTAAACTTGTGATGTTTCACTCCATATGATGCTACAAGCAGTTCCTGTGTTCAGAAACATATCTATGGGTCCCCAGAGACATGGGAAGTACCCCCAAAATGTATATGAATGCATCCTGTTTGTATTTTACATTATACATTATACCATGTTATACAGTCAGTAGCATCTCCTAAACTCCCCACCATACTTTCTCCCTCATCTACTGATATGTGAATCCTAATTAGATTCCTGACCCTCTTGCCAACTTTATTAGATCTGCTAGGTAATGACTCCTCAACTTTAACTACTAATAACACCTTTCTTGAGCACATCCGTTACTAGTTCTTCTGAGAATGAAGATTAACACAGACATATGTGGAATGTCATTTCAAACAGTGCCTTACTTTCTTTTTTCCTTCTCCCTTCTGTTAAGCAAAATACAGAATTTGCTTCTCTCAGAGTGTTACATGCCACAGATGCACAGGACATCAGAGCAGGCTGACTACATTATGGCAGCAGTTTACGGGGATCCCCACTGTAAAACATTTAGTCCATTTGGAAGAGAATAAAGCTGTCGTACAGATGGCTTTAGTGTGACTGAACAGAGTATATTCTCATCAAAACTGTCCTTGTGCCCGAATGGATGATGTCATCGCCATGCAATAAAGCCCTTGCATTATCTATTGAAACTATAGCGAGAAAGAGAAGGGGCCTATTCACTGCTATAGGGCTTGCAGTCCCTCCTTCTTTTAGGAAAACTAAACCATGCAGAAAAACTGCATTGACTATTTCTTGATAAAAATAGGCCAATTAGGTCCATGCTTTCTCTCACCCTGGGGAGCTGTGACAGTGGGTCAGTATGTTGTTATTAAGCCCTGCAGAGGTATTTTCCTGTTAAAACTTTTAATTACACGCAATTCATTGGCAGGGTTTATTATTTCTCAGGCACACACAAATGTTTCTGGGAGGAGCCTCAATTTTTTACAGGCCAACAATCCTCTGA